TGTGTGTGTGTGTGTGTGTGTGTGTGTGTGTGTGTGTGTATGCGTATGTGTGTGCATTTGTCGCATTGTGCGAGACTCCTACCGTCAATCTTCTTTTCCCAGTCGCGGTAGTCTTGCGTAGCGGTACTGCACAATCCAGCACACGCCCGTCCGTCGTTTCCAAAGTATCGCGTATATTGTCTGATGTTGAGAGTATACACTAGTGTCAGCGATTCGAGTACACATACTTTCTGTATTTGTATATATAAACTAAAAAATACACATACACACAGCACGAATTGGTCTGTACTTGCATGACCACACTCCATTAATGTGATGATGTGCTAATAGAATCATATAAAGTGCTCTAAAATACAACACACTGTACTGGTTGAAGGTTACACTCCAAAACTACTCACGACAACTCCCTGGCCATGTATGAACCCAGTACGATGCGTGTCAACAACCCGTGCAGCATAGACAGACAACTTGTTTTGCATACACGCCTGTAGCGTGTAACGTCAGTCCCTCCTCAGAGATTGGACTACAAGTATAGCGCGTGGGTCACCTGGTACTGCCCAGCACTAAGTGAGTCGTACTCAGTTTGTGTGTGTAGTGGTAGTGAAATGAGCTCATCCGTGCACTGCTGTAGTACGTTCGTGAAATATAGGGAAAGGTACTGGAGCACTTCTCTTTCTTCATGAGTATGTGCGTGCACAGAGTAGCGATCATTGTGCGTGCGTGTCGCCACATCTTGAATCTTTGTATGTTGTGGAGCATATTGACCTGAACATATATCACATGCACGTCTAGAGCATATCATACATACACGTAAGTTTATGTTACATACACCCCTGAAATACATAAACTATGGGACCTATTGACCTGGACAATACTACACGCACGCTCACAGCATGTCTATCATACACAGATAGCACATCACACACACCTCAGAAACACACAGACCATGCTACACACGCACCTCAGACCTAACGACATGCCACAGCTATGTAGTTTTCTCTCACATACACATCGGTATACAGTACCGTACTTCTTAAAACAAGGTAATGCGCTTGATCACATCAGTGTGTGTATTGGGTGTATGGTGTGAAGGAAACAATGTGGTAATACCTGTGTGCGATGACATCCGACTTTGGAAAGTCCACTTCCGGTGAGTCCCAGGTGAGCGTGAAACAAATGTCGCCCACCGTCTCTGAGGGTTTCGGCTGTATGACGTCACATCCGCCATGCACAAAGGGCGTAGAGAGCGGGATTTAGATATAACGGGTGCGGCAATGGTAGTTTAGTTCGTTCGTTTGGGCCCAGGCCCACAAAGATTTGAACGGACCTTTAGGACAACTAACTCTGTAGCACAGCCGAAAGGAGTGAGCTGGTCGGGTTCGCTTGGGGGGGGGGGTTAAGTACCGATGCGAGTGAGTAGGTATTCTATCTATCGCATATTAACCAGCACACAACCTAGTGCAGCACACGGACGAGTGCAGCACATAGACGAGTGCAACACACAGACGAGTGCAGCACACAGACGAGTGCAGCATACAGATGAGTGCAGCACACAGACGAGTGCTGGCTGCGGCCTCCACTGTGGTGAAGTGCATGCACTCTGCACTACGCGATGGCGCCTAAGCTGAAGGTCAGGACGACAACCTACGCACACGAGCATCTGCATTAGCAGGTTGCTTGGCATACCTCAAAATCTAGCAAAGGTAACGTACTGAGATAGCACCATAAAAACATGCACAAAATCTAGCAAAGGTAACGTACTTAGACAGCACCACAAAAACGTGCACAAAATCTAGCAAAGGAAACGTACTTAGACAGTACCACAAAAACGTGCACAAAATCTAGCAAAGGTAACGTACTTAGATAGTACCCCGAAAACATGCACAGAATCTAGCAAAGGTAACGTACTTAGACAGCAACCCAAAAACATGCACCAGCAACAAGAAATGATCGATGTACGGGTGGGTTGTGTACCTGAACACTACAGCTCACAGCAGCCCCTATGACTTGGCCCTTGCGCGAGGCCTGGCAGGAGTCTCCGTTTTTTAGATGCCCAGTGGTCAGCAGTTGGTTCCAGAGTAGCGAGCCAGAGCCGTTGGCAGTGAAGTTCGCTTCATACGTCACTTGATACGTTTCCCTAGTATTGATTAAAACGTTTTAGAAGTGATGTGGTGGATGTACAGGTGCTAAAAACCCCAATACTAACGTCAATTGCAGTCGATTCCGCTGGATGGTGAAGTGTCTAAGTAGTATGGTGAACATGGCAGATATGTACACGCGTCCCGCTTGGTTGTAGGCCTATGCAAGGTCACAGAGAGTAGCAGAGCACACATACAACAAAGGTTTTGGACAAAGAATAGAACTGAAGAATGATTGTGGTACTCCATATAATCGTTTTGATGGTATTTGCGATCCTATTTTTATAGGTTTACATCGACATGTGGGAAGCACCCCTTCGTGTTTCCTCGTCTAATATTTACGGCATTGCTTCTAAGGTATCTCTGTTGGCGAGTATCGACTAAATCCAATGGGAAAGGCTCTGTTGTATAATATATATATATATATATGTATGTATATATATATATGTGTGTGTGTGTATAAATATATACGTATATATATATATATATATATATATATATTGTGTGTGTGTAGTATATATGTATATATATATTATTATTATATATATATATATATGTGTGTGTATAAATAATATATAGTGTGGTGGGTGGGGGGGTGGGGGGGGTAGGGGGGGGGGGGGGGG